TACTTATACAGCAACTGTGCTTAATTTATTTTATTTAAAACGTATTATAATGCACAAATTTTTTTTAAGGTAAAATCATATTCTTATATTATTGTATATACGAAATACAGGTTATGTATACTAATAAATTTGCTTTTTGGGAATGCGAATCAATGAAAAAAAAATATAATTTGCAATTATATCTAATATTATATTGGCGTATCCTAAAAATTATTTAAAGGTAAATATACGAATGAGTTAGATTTTGCTTTATTCATTTATTGAAAAATACTAATTACCTCTTTTAAACTATCACCATATAATACTATATGTTCTACCAACTTATTGAATACATTACTATTATCTGGAGCAAACTGTCGTCTCCACATATATTCTAAAAAATAAGTATTATATAAGTTCTTTACTATTCCATATCTTGGAAGAGACGATTTTACTGCATGCCAATTTGACTCAATTGTATTTGTATGAACTCCTATTTCAGGCTCCAGGAAGTGTTCTGAATGGTTGACTTTTCCATGCTTCCATCCATACTTTTCAAAATCATCCGTCTGATATGCTGACCAACAGTCACTATAAATTGTAGTTCTAAAATTTTTAACAAAGTTTCTTTTTTACGATCAGACACTGATATCAAAAATATTTTGTCTGAATCTCATTCAACCCCTCTGAAAACCTACTGCCCTTCCACTCTTTTTCCTTTATTATATTTACGCTTACCAAATTTGCTTTCATCAATTTCAACAATCTTACCTTCACCTCCAATTTTTTGATTTTCTTGATTTATCAGCACCAAGCTACATATATCGTGACAAAAATTGTACCAGTCAACCATCTATTTAGCACTAACCTCAGCTTCAACAACAGCAAATTTTTGGGGCAGTTTATAAGACCAACAAAATATGATTTTAGCAATTTGAGCTAGAGATAGTCTGGAGTTAGCTAGCCATGTTCCCGACCTTAAAGTAGTTGAATAACTACAAGCAGTTTTTGAGGTGCAGGCCCATTTTTGATTATCTTTACGGTGATGGTCTTTTGCTTTACGCATTGGTTTTTGGCATTTGGTGCAGAAGCGTATTAGAGAAAGAATTCCGAGTTTTTCAAAAAATTTTACAGCACTTTCAGTGTCTTGGGTATTGAAGTAGATATCACCATAATTTTTTACTAGTATGGATGAAGATGATGAGATTTCTTTCTTTTCTGCTATAATTTTTTTTTTAATACGATTTTATTTAGAGACTTTTACTAGTTAGTTATTGATTTATTTTATAGAGAACTTTTGGAATCTTTCAGGCATTTTGAGAGTACTTTTTTAACTTTTCAGGTCTTTTTTATAATTACATTTTCATACTAATCACGCTATTCTATTTTTATTTATTTATTATTTTATTTTTTTATTTTTTAAGAAAACTCACTATTACTCTCATTTATTCTCTATTCTCACAATTAAAAATTCTATTCCATTTATCTGTTTTTATCATAGCTGTTTTATTCACACTATTACTGTCATTATATTAATGTATCTTTTTGAGTTTCACCTACGATTATTTGGTTTTCTTTCTTTGGTTTCGTCATGTCTACTAACATTTATTCTTCATTTATTAGACCAGTTTCGTTTATTATTGGAATTTCGCCTCTATGAAACTTAAGCACCATAGCTTCTACTCTTTTCCCAGTTTGGCATCGTCTTGGTTTTTCTCATTCATTTTGATCGAGGAACATACTAATGCATGTTTCATCTTTTTTTGAAACTTGATCTTAGATGCATTCATTTCATATACATTCAACGAATAGGTGAGTATTATTATACGAAATATAGTACTTGATTCATTTAGTAATATTTTTCTTAGTTTATTATATGCGTGACTATAATTTTTTTACTACTTAGACTATTTAGGTTATTTAGATTAGCAGCTCAAACTTATTATAAATATTATAGAATCGTGTCATATATTGTATCTATTCTAGTTTATAATACTAGGGGTGTTTATTCGTTTATTCAAAGTTTTTATTAGCTGTTGAGCAAGTAACATCTTTTACATCACAATAAAAAAAATTAAAGTTCATTTAATTACTGTAAAATCTAGCCCAGGTTATTTCTCAGGTCCAAGAGCATTTAAAAATACATGATTTACACATAATTCTACACACACACGAAATTTAGAATTTTGTTGCACTATGACTTGAAACCAGGTATATTATATTTTTCATATGTTAAAACTGATTAAAACCGACTTTAATATATGAAAATAAGCCGGTTCCAAACTCAGTCTTAAACGATCATGTTATTAAAAGTAAAAATTTCGATTTATTTCAAAATTCAGAAAAAAATAATGATAATCCCAGCTGAAATTAAAAACATAATACGTACAAATTTGATTTTATATAAATGAATATCACCTAATGTTTATTTACTGTAATGAATATCACCAGATGTTTGTTTACTTTTTTAGCCAATCAAAAATTTTATGTGATTATATTGAGGGTGACAATTCGTGATAATCACTGGGTCTACAGATCTTGAAACTTCCTCATAATTACAGCATTTTTGCTATAAATTATTGTGTTTATACTCTATATGCAGATATTACTTATAAATTGCAATCTAACTTCATTTAGACTATGTTACTACAATTTAGATCTTACGTGTAATATGACTATTTAGAGTATCAAAGAGATCTATAGCTAATAATGAGTGATTCATACTTACATGACTATGACTAATAGTATTAAGACTTTGCTACTATGATTTAGATCTTATAAGCAATATGACTATTTAGAGTATCAAGAAGATATATGGGTAATAATGAGTAATTCATAATTGTACAACTATAAATTTAATTTTTACAATTTAATTATTAGAAGCATTTTACTATTGTTCTTAAGCTTCGCCTTAATCTAAACCTGAATTGGCATTATTAAATGCCTTTACTTTTGTCAATCAATATATATTTAAGGTCCCGAGTCATATAGCTTTAGTCACATTTTTTAGATTACATTTCTATATTACAATATGTTCTAAATAATTAAAAAATATAATCTTATACTTTTAACTGCTATTGTATTACTCTTCTATCATTTGCATTACTATAACTTTAGATACCACTGTTAGCAAAAGACTAGATTTTTTTTTTTTTTGGTTTTAAGGTGAGGCCTTGCTCATATCTTTATTAGTAATAATTTTTTTATAGTAACAAAATAAATTACT